GATGAGTTTCGTATATTTTGTAAGTAATCAATATTATTATTTTTATTATCCAAAAAAGCGATGTCCACTTATTACGTATGATCCCGATATAAAAGTGTAATATTATTATAATATACTACGACATATATCATAAATATCGAATCATATTATAGATTGTAAGTAAATGGTATCGGAATTTTTATAAATAATTATAATCTTAAAAAAAGGAAATCTACTTGTTACAAAATATTATAGATGTATAAAATATGTAATATTGTTTTATCATATACTATAGCATAATTTCTTATTATTGTAACACCCGAAAGGTCGCCCGTTGTGCACACAAACTTACACATCCTAAAATTTTTTTAATAAAATTTCACTCACATATAGTAATTAAAAGCTGAAGCTTCAAGGAAATCTAGAATGTGTTTCTTTGATAAAGTTTTTTAAAACTTTACTATTTGGATTTTGTATGTTTTGAAATATATATATTTACAAAATATCTTATCAACTATTATTTAAATATCAAATCTAAATTAAATATATCCAAACCAATCCATATAACCAGACTCTGGAAGTTTGATGTTATGTTTGATATTACTATTCATCAATAGTAAATTTTTTAAAAAACTATTACATAAAAATATATATTTTTGTCATAAATATTAAATCAAATATTAATATATGTTAAGGTTGTGATATCAGGTCTAGACGCAATAACTATTACTTTTCATATCTAATCGTGAGAGTAACAACAGAAACCCCAACGGTTTTCTCAAGAGGGATTGCGCCGTAGGTTTGAAGAACACAAAACCCTCTATCAATTTGCACACCCAAATCCTACAATGCTAATAAATCTAACCTGATTTCATTAGTTAAATAATCATAATTTTTATTTGCTGAATTGTATGGCTTCACATCATGAATTTACTATTGAACATATTCATATAGCTTCCATAATTGCGGATCCGCTTAATTACTAAAGAATTTTCGCGTAAGTTCTATAATGAGCATGTTGCTCGTTTGAGAGTGGAACCATATTTCGATATTTCGATTTAGTGGGAGCTGATTAGAAATGTTCATATACAATTAAAGTTACTTTATTTTATACTGCAATATTCAATTTTAATTCAATATTCATATGTTCTGAATTGAAGTTAAGGTCGATCAGTTGAAAATAGATATGTTAAGATCACATTAATGAAACTTTCATGTTGTGCATCTACACTTGATCGAAACTTAGGTTATATTGATGTTGTGAGCATTGATCGGTTCCATTGCGATAAATACATTGATGGTCTCTTTGATCCGCTTTGATGTAATTTATAAATAGGATTAGTAATATACATTAAAAGACCTTATAGCAAAATTTTCATGAGTTAGGTTATTCAGTGTACATTTATCCAAGTGGGAGATTGTTGGATTAAAAATTCAATTGTGGGTTAAATGCAATATTTGTGCTATCGGTCAGGTTAAACCTATATTAAGTGATCTATTAATTTGTTAGGTTTAAATGTATTTAGTAAGTACGGACCTCCTATGTGCAGAAACTCGATAACATATTAATTGAGTGATGAAACCAATTAATAATAAGGGATATATATTAGATTGTGATCTCCGGTCTAGATGCAACAACTATTACTTTTCATATCTAGTAAGGGCATAAACCCCAACGGTTTTCTCAGGAGATGTTGCGCCGTAGACTTGAAGAACACAAAACCCTTTATGAATTTGCAGATTCGAATTCGACAATGCTAATGAAATCAGGTTAGATTTATTAGTTTTATTTTTATATCAATTATTTCAACATGATATATCTGAGCTTAGGTTTAATTTCTAATAAGTGGTAACATAATCAGTATAGTGCATTATTAGTCATTATTAGCAACCTAAGAAAACCACTTTCATATTTTTTTTTCTCAAAATTATTATAAAAAATAATTGTCCCAAATCACATAATGTAGTATAATAATAAAATTATCTTATTACAATTGAATATGTTGAATTGATTTTAATAATTGAAATAAAAAAAAGAAACTAGAAAACCCCTTGATTCGCCTATGTTAGGGTGTTGATTAGAGGTTGACGAGGATTAATAGTACTTGTTTGAATATTTGAGGAAAAAAAAAATGTATTTTAACCTAAAATAAAAATTGTTTTGAATATGCTAACAGTATTGATTAATCCAATTATTACATAAAATATTATAGAAAATATATATTATAATAGTGTTAGTATGTACTATCGGTTTTATTTTATATATATGTTATATAAATAACTTTGTAAGTCGAGATCTATAGTAATATATGGACTAATGTCATGTATTGTACTTCCTCCGTCCACGGATAAAGTATACATTTACTTTTGGTGCGGTGTTTAAGAAATAATAGTATTTTAATTATAGTAGGCAGTTAAAAGTAGTGTAATGACATTTTTGCCTTTACTTTTTTGTATAAAAGTAATGATGTGATGTAAAGTAAGGGTATTTGTGAAAAAAAAATGAGATGTTTAATGAAATGTTACTTTGTAATTGGACGTTCCAAAATAAAAATATATATATTTTCTAGCCTGGACGGAAGGAGTATTATATTTATATTATATAAATATATATGTGGTACGATCGATTTACACATAATGTGCTATCAATATCTATTAATTGTAATGTTAACATTGTTTTAATTGTATTATATTTAATCGATACAATAAACAACCCCTCAATTATTTCACCTTTTGTAGATTACAATTTACTGTTTAAATAAAAATAGAGGGTATGAAATTGAATAATATAAATTGTAATATTCAACTTTTAAAAAATATTATATAAATATTAATTTAGAATAACAAACATAACTAAATATAAATTTTAATATATATAAATTTATTAAGAGGGATAAGTTCTCCGGTAATGATGATATCATCATGACATTATGCTTTCAATGTTGCATTGTGAAAAATTTACTTTTTTTTTTTTTTTGGACCTTTACCTATATGTCAATAAAATTATCTATACTTCAATATAATCTTAGTTTGATACCTATCTAAATTTACAATTAACCCGTCTAATAAACAAAAAAATATTACATCCATAAATTTTGAAATTATACTGACCAGGGTCACTCATCCCGAAATTACTTTAAAATAAACACCTTTAATTTTAGAGTTTTTTCAAGTGAGCTTTCGAAAGGGAATGTGTTATGAGTAGTTTATTCAAGCCACTTATCTTTATTAAATCTTGAATGACCAGCACCAACTCATTTATACACGGAAGGAAGTTGACTTAACACTGACCCAACTCCAGGATACATTAAAAAAAAAAAATCATTTTTGTAACAAAATATTTTTGTCTCTAAATCTACTTTTTCCGTTACTAATGACATTAGAGACGGAATTAGGAATGAAATTACGTTAGCTATGTGAACTTTAGGGACGAAATTCCGTTACAAATATATTACTTCTTCCGTCCATTTTCTAATGTCCTATTTGATATTTACACGTATTTTTAGGCAATTAGGGTTTTTGTTATAAAATGACAAATTCACCCTTAATCTTGTGTATAGAAAATGAAAGAGTAAATAAAATAAGGGTAAAAGAGTAAATTTTGTGTATAAAAATAGAAAGAGGACAATAATTGTTGGACATTCCAAATAGGAAAGTAGGGACGGAGGGAGTATTTTTTTTTGTAGTGATATTACAATTAATGCAAAGTAATTGAAAAAGTACTATATTGTCTTTTCATGGAAACACGAATAATAAACTGGATGCTGGGAAAAAAACATGAATGGTTAGAACAATCCTGAGAAATGTAAAAAAGTAAAACAGAAAAAAAATTTCTTTTTACTCATGGATGAATGATACAAAATTGTTGGGTGTTAAATCAAAATTTTGTACTGTCAAACCTTAACAATACATTGTATGTTTATAGAAAAAATTAAATACAAGATCCCCAACTCAGGACTTTGTTTCTAAGGAGACAAATTGAATTGTTGACCTTGTAATTAGCAGTTCTATGTAGAACTAATATGATAAAAAACAAAGATGTTTCCAAAGTAACTTGGTAACCAATCAATCCCAAGTTTCAATAATTAAAAGAAGTTATTGATATATCTGTAGATCCGAGCACTTGAGAGTCGTGTCATCTAAGTTTTCCTTTGCTGATGCTCACCTCTCGTTTCTGTTTAGGAAGATGACAACCTTTGAGATCTTACTTGATTTTTTTTCTTTCTTGCTCATATTGGATCACACTTGGTCCAAAAACTTTTCATCTTCAATGATATAGTGCCCAAGATCATCCTTGGTAGCTAGAAATTAATCTCTTCTGGCCCTTAATTACTCGAGCTTGGCCTCTATGCGTTCCAAAGCTTGCGGTGTGCTTTCGGCATTAAAAGATACATTCCAGGTTCAGCCTTGTTATTGGATGAGAGAGGCGTCCGCCCAAGGTTCAATAATAAATAGGGGATCCGTTATATATTTATATTATATACGTATCGTTTTTATATATTAAACTTATTCGATATATATATATATAGTTTATATATAAAACATATTTGATATATATAACATAAAATTATATTGTTTGGTGGTGTGTGGTTGAATTTCTAGGGGTGAAATCAAAGGCTCAATAATTCCTAGTATTTTTATTTTTGTTTTATCCGGGCCCTTCGAAAGTCAAGATTGGTCGTGATACATTCTTATGGAATTCAAAGTGCTAAGCCCATAAGGAAGATTCTAGCTCTAGGTTCAAGGCTTGTTTGATGGAATATATCTTTATCACTTCGAAGAGTGCATTGGATAGTAGATTAAATCAAACATTATACATTTCTTCTAATGAATTGGTAGCCAGGTCCTCTAGTATTTACTAGCTTGATCGGGGATGGGATTTTAATGGGTGATGCGGGTGCAATGTATATATTTGGTGGTTAGATCTACAATATTATTCTTATCCTAATTAGTCATTGATAATGAAAAAAAAGTTTACATCAATAGGAGTGGCCAAGGGGAAGTCGAAAGAACATCCCCAATCATGACTTAGACTTCTTGAAGTACCTGAGTATTGGACACCCGATTTAGACATTCGTTGATTCGAGAGGAGCAAGATCTACTTGGTGATACTTACCAGCTGGTCATCTTTAGGTAGAATGGCATCGAAAGATTGGCTGATGGGATTGGATCGCTGGAGGAGGTGAGGTCACTTTCGGCATAAGATCCAAATGGAAACCACTTGGGGATATGATGGATGTTGTAGTGGGTTGAATTACTTTCTTGAAAATTTTTCTCCCAATTTGGGAGATACTACAAATTCATTGAAGGTAGGTTCATTAGATCGGTACCTTATGAGGTAATGAGTAATTTGGTAATCTAAGGAACAAAAAAAAAAAACTCCTTAAAGAAATGCATCTTTGTAGACTTGGATTTGGAGTGGAACGGCTTAATGAGACATATCAAAAGAAACCCATCTGAATGTGCTTTCATTTGATCATCTAATGGGATCGTCAGCCCCTCCTTTGCCTAGCCCCTTCACGTTCGTCACACCAAAGTGATATAAATTTTGAAACTTGACTTAGATTTTTTGACATACTAATTAAGTGATGTCAATGTTGTAGTCTACTCATACAATGAGTTTCTAGGTTGAACTCCGACGATTTTAAATAACAAAATACTCCTAAGAATTATGTCTTCGAATCTAGCGAAAATGGGAACTAGAAATGATTTATAATCTATGGTAGAATGTGAATTAATTCTAAGTTAATGTTTTGAAAGTGAAGTAAATTTGGATCTAAGCGAGGCAAGTGCTACGTGATTTAGCGATGTGAAGTAGCAATGTATGAGATAAGTGAAGTAGAAGATGTGTAACTCTATGAACGAGGTAACTATGGAACGTGACAAGTGAAAAGGTACATATATAGCGAAGTGAAACTAGACGACTCTTTGGTTAGAAGTGTACACTTATCTCATAGTAGACACGGGAGACTATATCGGCTTAAAAATGGTGCGGTTATGAGCAATTTGAAGATATGTGCTAGTGAGAATTTACAACTATAAAAATATAATAGATGTAGGAGCGAAGGCGCTAAATATTAGTTATTTAAGTTAGACTATTGGTTCTATTGGTACTTGATCTTATGGCTTAAAAAAACATCGCTCATATTCACAAATTAGAACATTATTGGCTAGTGAAACTGTTGTCATTGGATAATGCTATTATCGGGTGGACATTGTCTACGTCAAATGAACTATTATTTAGTTGTTTCACTCACTAAAGACCATCGGGACACTACTTGTGGCGCGTGAAATAGACATGGATAGTCGACTTATATTCGCTCTTCCACAACTTAGTCAACAATTGAACTTAAACATCCTAGAAGTAAAAATGACAAAAGATATAGCTAGGTCAAATGGACAATAAAATGATATCTCAATACTACTAAAAATTAATACAAGTTACAACTACGATTAGGGGAATAAATTCTACATAGAGTGCTCATGACCGCCGCACAAATTTACCAGAAAGACCTCCTTATTGTTTGAGCTTTAAACTTTACATCTACAAATGAGAGGATGAAAGTGAGAATAAGATAAAGAATAATACAAATCAGACTGATTTTTTTATAGGCGTCGGGATGGAAATTATGAGATTACAACTTCCATAACCATCGTAGAAATCACAACCATCTCAAGGGATACATAGTTATCATCCTTTATACAATAAATCAAATATTGTGATAGTTTTTTGAACCAAGATACAAATAATAAACATTTTTTCAATGCATGAGTTATCATGGTAAATATGTGTTATCATCCTCCCGCATCCCTATAATGTGATCCTTAAGCCATCAATTAGTGATGGATTGGACAAATCGATTTTTTCATAAAATTGTTCCTTCGAGCTAGGATTAGATCATCTATTGGGTCCTCGGGCTTGGTCTACATCAACAAAAGAAGGTTAACTATTACCTAACATGAAAATGGCGATGCATCAAGGTTAAGATTACCTCTAAAGGAACCTATTTGGTATTTTCTCATCTTTGGATGATCAGATTTGGCTGCAACTTTCTTTTCTTTCTTTCTTCTTAACTTTTATTTTTTTCAGCATATACAAGCGATTGTAACATCAAGTTTATTTTCCTTTTTTTTCTTCTATAAGTAATAAGAGTAGTTCCTAATGAGAAGTTATATGCAATTATTTTGGTCAACATCACTAGCGATGTCAACTGAATTTTTGAGGTGCAACTTAATGTGAAACTTTCCATTTTAATCTTCTTCAGGCCGACATCTTTATTCTTTGTGTTAAAATATATTTAGAAGCAATATATTATATTTATGGTAGTTATCTTATTTAAGAGATTCGTGAGATTTTTATCTTATTTAGACGATTTATATATCACTATAAATATTTATGTATTCTTATTATTGAAATAGAGAATGTCAGTTTCATATTCTAACATGGTATTAGAGCCAAATTCTCTCCGGGTACCTTCATAACCCGTTATATTCCATATATATTTTTATATTTTATTAATATATTTGCTTCTATCCATAATCATGCTGTTATTTTCATGTCGTCTCCGTCTCTACTACTCCACTGACAGAGTCTACTTTCCACTCTAACTCCGTTGAGAGTCCTGTCTTCGACTCTAACTCTACTGAGAGCGAGGGAGTCCTGTTCCGACTCTAACTCTATTGTGACCGAGCAAGTCCTGTTTCCGACTCTAGCTCTATAGAGTGAGCGAGTCCTGTTTTCGGCTCTAGTTCCATTGTGAGCGAGCGAGTCTTGTTTCCAACTCTAACGATGTTGAGAGTTCTGTTTCTGACTCTGATCCAGTGGACGACTACACCACTTTCAGTCAATCTTGGTGAATTCAAATTTGTACGTGGAAGATTTCGGCTATATCTTTTTCGGTCACTTCTGACAAACTCAAGTTTGTTCCATCATATATTGAGTTTGAGGATGGGTGTTAAAATATATTTAGAAGCAATATATTATATTTATGGTAGTTATCTTATTTAAGAGATTCCTGAGATTCTTATCTTATTTAGACGATTTATATATCACTATAAATATGTATGTATTCTTATTATTGAAATAGAGAATTTCAATTTCATATTCTAACACTTTGCCATTTTTTTTTTTACTTCATTGATGGTCCCGTGGTTAGAGTCGGCTTAAAAAATATTGGCTCAAGAATGGTCTCAAGCCTCCCTAAAAACTTGATGAACACACTACAAAAAAATATTAATTAGCTACAATATTTCTAATTACGAAATATTTTTATAGTTAAAACGTGTCATTTAGCAACTAAAATTAATTTCATCACTAAAAATAAATTATATACTATAAAATGAATTCCGTTACTAAAATTATTTTGCTAGAAAATTCTATCTTCATAACAAAAAAGTTTTAGCTACAAAATTATTTTTCATAGCTAGTATCATTTGACTAAAAAAATCATACATATTTTATTGCTAGAACTCTTTTAATATGACTTTTAATTTTATAACAAAAGAGCTTTAACTACGAAAGCTATATCTCTTTTCTTAATTTTCATTACTGAAAATTTATTTTTTATTACGAAAGTCATATTTTTCGTTAAAGACTTTTACTAACCTGATATAGGCAACAACATGAGATATTTCGTCGCAAAAATATATTTTCTATGAATTATTACCTTTTGCTATAAAATATTTTTATAGAAAAATTTCAACTTTCTTGTTGTGACATAATACTTACATATTAATCGACATTGTGTCCAAGAGAATCCCAAAGATATGTTCACTAGTTGGGAAAATAAGGAATAGAACAAGGCTCCTGGTGAAAAGGAATATAAGATTCTTTGGTCAAATAGATATACATTTGAGCATAATACATTCATTCATTGAGTTAAAATTAGAGCTGCAAAATAAACAAACAGTTCACGAACTAAGTTCTCTTGAGCTCGTTCGTTAAAGTAAACAAGCTGAACACAAAAATAAAATTTGGCTCATTATGTTCACAAAAATAAATAATAGTAATTTGACCCCTGCATCTACCATTATGCCTACAATGATTGGACATAAAATTGTTATTCATACAACTTTCAGTAGAACAAAAACATGTTGTAGGACATTCCAAGAAATATAACAAAAATGAGAACAAAAGTCTTCTAATTTGATCAGAAGAAAGGCGCCCTCCGAGGTACTCCTTTCCTACGATGCTTCGTGCTCACCAATTGCTCCATGTTGTGCCTTTTCTGTGGAGTATGACCCGATGAATTTGCTTCCTCGTTCGAAACCTGCTGTATTTAAAATATTTGCAAAATAAAAAAGAGAATAAAAGAGAGAATATCCAATAAAATACGGCATGATGGACTACGACAATCTTCTATAAATATTAATCACAATATATATGCATAAATCTAAATCTAAGATGTCAGTCAATATATATAATACACGTGTTACACCATATTTCGATACCAAATTAAAAACTGGCTAAAAGTATATATACAATACATGTTTTAACATATATAGATAAAACATATTAAATTTTTTTTCTTAATTTACGATGGCGTTAGCAAAATGTATTCCCATAAATCCAAACATGTTAGGATTTTGTGTTAAAATAAGGAATCTGTACACATTTAGTTTACTCACAAAATATTAAGTGTACTAAATCTTTCATGCATTTTAATTAATATAAATATTATAAAGGTAATCCTTCGTAAATATTAGATGTGTATATCATAAAGGAAAATGTAATATGACCTTGCATGTAAGGGAGCAAAACTGATATGGATAATTGAGCTTCCTTTTGCAAGTGTGACAAGCTTCATCTTTGTCGTTGAGTGCACCAGAGCCGTTATGTGGTAGCGGAGTTAGGGATACAACTAATTTCTTGTTACATCTGTAATTCTACAATGACATGGCATAAAAAACAATAATACCCGGGTGTTAATTTATTAAAATAGGACAAGAAAATTAAATACAATCAAAACTACTTACACGAGCTAGTCGTCGTAAACAAAATGATAGCAATAAGCAAAAAAAATATTAAATACTATTTTTACTAAGATTAATAGAATGCACATTAATGTAGATAAAATGATTGTAATCTAAACTTTCATAAGGTACAAAAATTATGATATTTTAAGTGGCTTTCAAGTTATACAAAATGAAATGCAAATGCAAAATAAATAAAATAAGATTAAGAGCGAAAATTATTATTTGATTCAATTATCTAGCATTGTTATATATAGAAGACTATTTTATAGAAAGATTACTAAAAAAATAATTATACCTGAATTGTTGTACAATCAATAAGAGCCTCCAACTCCTTCAGGGGAACGACATTTTGGTATCCGTGTCTATACATTGTAAATATCGTATGACCGTTATGACAGTCATTTATGATACAATTCTTGCATAACGGTTTGTCGCATACTACACAATATTTATTCAAGTAAATCCCATGAAGTGAACATTCTTGAAAAAATATTTTTTCTAGTAAGCATTCAACCCATTCTGGATCTTTGCCCCGATGAATTTCATGATCATCCTACAACATAAAAGCAATAAATTTTAAAACTCAAAAAGTTATTATATAATCAAAACAAATTTAGAATATTCGTCGTATAAATAGCAACAATATGTATTACTTTTGCACATAAAATATGACAAATACATACAAAAAATAAATGATATAAAAGAACAATGTATCTTACTTTTCCGATATTATTAATCGATGAAGAACTCATCTTTTATGCACAAATGTAAAAATTTGACTAGCTTATATATATATGTGTGTGTGTTTTATTTATTTTTATGAATGGACTTATAAGAATGATGTATGTATATATAGTCTCTATGTAAAATAATGATACATTAATCAAAAGTTTTATTGTAATACGGCTTATTTAGGAAAGAAAGTACTCATAGAAAGCTATAAATCGATTTTTATTAGGATAATTACTAATCTTATATAAAAATGAGTAAGCAAATTAAATATTGTTGTTGCATTTTAATACATACATTATTGCACTTACTATATGTTCTCTAAATGAGTAATCTTAAACAATTTTTCAAATTTTGAAATTTTAAAACAAATATGATTTTTTTTTTTTTTTTTTCAGTATTGGAAAATTTTCTTATTTTTAAGTATTTAATTTAAATTTCGTTGAGCATTAATTATATTGGCCGTTCATAAGTATTTGGTAATTGCAATAAATCATTTTACCTTTTATGACCGAATTATGATGCCATCCATGTTTAGCATATGGACTGCATTTTTTTTTTACAAATAAATTATTTATTACCAATCCAATGTAATTATTGCATCATTTTGTATTATTATTTTATATTATCGATAGGATTTTTCATACAACATCCATCCAAAAGCACAAATTAAGTATATTATTATTATTATTATTATTATTATTATTAGGTAAACTGTTTTTTTTAGTCAGTAACTTGACTCCTTTATCATTTTAGTCCTGTACGTGGAGTATGTCGCAAACTAGTCCCATAAGTGAAAAATTTTCGTTGTTTTCGCCGGAGACGCCCGTGTGGCTTGCCGGAGGTGACGTGTCCGCCAGGTCAGCGACACCTGGCGGACACGTGGATTTATTTTTTTTCATTTTTTTAAATTTTTTTTAATTGAACCAAATAAAAAATTAAAAAAAATACAAATAAATTAAAAATAAGTTTTTAAAAAAAATTAAAAAAATGAAAAAAAAAAAAAAAAAATCCACGTATCCGCCAGGTCAGCGAGACCTGGCGGACACGTCACTTCCGGCGAGCCACGTGGGCATCTCCGGCGCCGGAGGACTAAAACAACGAAAATTTTTCACTTATGGGACTAGTTTGCGACAGACTCCACTTACAGGACTTAGGGGGTCCAGTTATGGGAAAAAAACAGCTTACCCTTATTATTATTATTATTTTATGAGAACAAGAATAACTCAGCAAATTAAAAACTTGGTACAATGAGTTTGTTTGGTTTTGGTTTACCTTTTTAACAAATAAAAAATGTTAACGATTTGACTAACTCAACACTAATATAATAGTATATAGTTATTTTTGAATTTTTTTCAATGAATTTTATACTAATAGAATTCATGTAAAATTTATAAAATGAATGTTTTTTTCTAATTTTTTTAATATGGGATTCTGCTGTGCCCCTCCAACAAGAAAAATATTAAATAATAAGGATAAAAGACTATTAATAAAAAGTAACATAGCAAAGATGAAGGCAAACCACACGCATGCACCAAAAACTTAAGCCTCTTACTTCATAGATCACCAAACAAAAGCACTTTTTCACTCTTTCGAGATCTCACTTGGAAAAGAAAATGTTCCATACTAACAGATTTGGGTTCATAACCATGGGTTCCAATGTAAGAGATCTTGTAGCACTTACCAATGAGACCCTATCCATTAGTATAACGGTGTGTTTCTTTGGATTTTGTTTCTCAAATTTTATCTGTTTGAACTTTGTTTTTTTTTTTTTTTGAAAATATAATTTAAAGACAAAATCAAAAATAAAATTTTCAGTTGAACCGAAAAAAACTAAAAAAAAATAAATCAATAACATACCCTCGATTACACTTATAGGTGGCAAAACAAAAGGAATATAAGTCAAACACATGTATAGTCTTTGGTCGGGCACTAAGGGGTGACCTAGTGGTGTGGGGGTTGGACGTGTGACCGTGAGGTCATGCAGGCCAACAAAAATACATATATGCAAGTTAATATGCATAAATAGACCGTGATATATTAAAATTTTAATAATTAGCTCCCCTTACATCGGATTTTGGTTCCGTCGTTGCATCTACCATTATGCCTACAATGATTGAACATAGAATCGCTATTCATACAACTTTATTAGAACAACGACATGTGTAGGACCTTTCAAGGAATATCATAAAAATGAGAATAATGACCTTCTATATCGATCAGAAGAAAGGCGCCCTCCGAGGCAATGCTTGGTGCTTTTCATTCTCTCCAATTGCTCCACATTTTGTTGTTTCTGTGGAGTATGACAAGATGAATTTTCTCCCCATTCGAAATTTGCTGCATTTAAAAGTTTTACAAAAAAAAAAAAAAAAAAAATTCAAAATCAAAAGAATATCCAATAAAAATACAACATGGACTATGACAATCTTCGATAAATATTAATCACAATATATATGCATAAATATAAATCTAACATGTCATAATACACATGTTAGACTATATTTTTTCGATACTAAGAAATTGCTATAAGTATATATACACTACATGTTTTTACATAGATAGATAAGCCGTATTAAATTTATTTACTAATAAATCCAAACATGTTAGGATTTTGTGTTAAAATGAAGAATCTCTGCACATTTAGTTTACTAATAAAATATTAATTATACGGATATTGCATCCTAATTAAAATATAAATATTATATAGGTAATTTGTCATAAATATTAGTTGTGTCTATATCATAAAGAAAAATGTAATATGACCTTGCATGTAAGGGAATAGAAATGATATGGATAATCGAGCTTTCTTTTGCAAATATGGCTAAGTTTTATTCTTCTCGTTGAGTATGCTAGAGCCGTCATGTGGTAGTAGAGTTAAAGATATGACCAATATTGTGTTGTATATGTAATTCTACAATGATGTGGCGCAAAATAAAAGTAATACTTGAGTTAATTTATTAAATCAGGATAAGAAAAAAAAAATACAATCATAACCAGTAACACGAGCTAGTCCTCGTAAGCAAAACGATAACAAAAAAAAAAATTATTAAATACTACTTTTACTAGATAAATAGATTGCACATTAATGTCGATAAAATAATTGTAATCTAAGCTTTCATAATGTATAAAAGTTACAATATTTTAAGTTGGCTTTCAAGTAATACAAAAATCATGAAATACAAACAAAAAATAAATAAAATAAATGTAAAAGTAAAAAAATATTATTTAATTCAAATATCTGTCATTGTTACGTATAAAGACCATTTAGATAGAAAGATAACTTAAGAATTTATTCTACCTGAATTGTTGTACACTCAAGAAGAGCCTCAAATTCACTTAGGAGAACGATATTTTGATACGCATACCTATATATCGTGAGTATTGTATGATCATTTATCATACAATCCTTGCATAATGGTTTGTCACATGCTACACAATATCTATTCAGGTAAATCTCATGAAGTGGACATAGTTGAAAAAATATTTTTTCTAGAAAGTATGCAACCCATTCCGGATCTTTGCCCCGATGAATTTCATGATCATCCTACCACATAAAATAAACAACTTTTAAAACTCAAAAAAAAAAAATGTTACATTATTAAAACAAATATACTATATTCTTCGTACAAATACCAACAATATGCATTACTTTCTTTCATACATAAAATATGGCAAATACATACCAAAAAGATAAGATTAAAACAACAATGTATCTTACTTTTCCTATATTATTAATCGATAAAGAACTCATTCTTTATGCACAAAAGTAAAAATGTGACTAGTGTGTATATATGTGTGTGTTATTTATTTTTATGAATGAACTTATAACAATATTGATGTATGTATATAGTAGCTATTTATTAGAATAAATGAAAGAAGAAATAATAATGATATATATTAATCAAAGGTTTTATGATAATACAGACTTATTTAGGAAAGAAAGTAATCTCATAGAAAGATATAAATCGACTTTTATTAGGAATAATTATTAATATTATATAAAAATGAGTAAGCAAATTAAATATTATTGTTGCATTTTAATACATACACTATTGCACTTACTATATAATGTTCTATTTAAATCCTACTCTGTCCCGGATATTTTGTCCGCGTTACTGTAGACACGGGAATTTAGGAGGAGTATAATTAGTAAATAATTAAAAATATATTAGTGAAAATAATTATCGTATAATAAAAATAATTATAGATTAAGATTAAGATAATTGATTTGTATAATTATAAATTAAAAAAAAAAGTATAAATTAAATTTTTAAAAATAAGATTAAAGCGTATAATTATTTTTTAAAAAAGAAAAGTGACAAAATAAGTCGGACAGACGGAAATGAAAAGGTGAATATGAGAAGTGGGACGGATGGAGTATTTAGTAGGTTCACTACAAAAAAATAATAGTATATTAGTAACGGAATTCCGTTCCTAAAGTGTGTGTAGTTAACGCAATTCCCTCTCTAATTCCGTCTCTAATGTCTTTAGTAACAAAAAAAAAAATGGGATTTAAAGACCAAAAAAAAAAAAAAAAAAAAAAAAGAAAAAAAACTTTGTTACAAAATTAATATTTTTTTTTGTAGTGGTTCTGCAATTAGCGTTCTTTCCTTTTAAAATACATGGAAACTGTTTTTCAAA